TCAACCACATGCCAATGTGCCATACACCTTTAACCCTGAGCTGACAACCATAACTGTTACACACTGTGACCTCTGTGGCACTTCTTATGGCCTATCCCAGGACTAGTCTCCTGGCCAGGGGCAATGTAAAACCAAACACGAACACACACACACACACACACACACACACACACACACACACACACACCAGAGTGAAAAGTTCAAGGAGGCCAGGTGACACCCTCTGTTAATTTCAGAGCCTTCTCTGAGTAGTTGATAGGGAACCTCAGCCAATCACATCTGGCTTGGGTGTCTGGAGCCAGGTAGATAAACAGGGAAGATAGGTGCATGGGAACTCTGAGCACATGGTGATCACCTGGCCCGTTTGGACTTTAGACTTTCTCCGATAGCATAAGTTTTCCGTTTTATTGATTATTAAATTATATCTGTTGTTTTGAACTGGTCTGGTTATTTTAGCATACCGGTCGGATATGCCTTCACTTACACTTGGTGCCCAATGTGGGTCTTTTTAGAGCCCTTTAAGGCTCTGGCCAGTTGGGGCCTCACCACATACATTTGGGCATAGATACCCACATCTTTGCACAGCACCATTCCGTGTACCCCGTTGTTGTGCACTTCGGCCCTCCCACAGGCCCTGGCTCCCCTCCGGCTGGCCTGCATGCTTGCATCAGATTAAAAACATCACATCAATAGCAAAGGCTTGAAGAAAGAGTTTTCTATTATGTGGTAACAACCTAAGGATATTATAAAGAAATGCCCTTCTTGTTCTTTCTATAACCAAGCACCACTACCTGCGGGGACTAATCCAAAGGGTACTCAAAGGAATAAAATCTGGCAAATGGATGTGTTCCACTTTGTGGAATTTGGCAAATTAAAATATGTACACCACATCACTGACACTTATTCAGATTTTCAATGGGCAATTGCTTTATGTTCAGAAAAAGCTGATTCAGTAATCACTCATTTATTAGAAGTCTTGGCCATCATGGGTATACCTGCACAAATAAAGACGGATTATGGTCCAGCTTATGTCCCTAGGAAAATGAAACGATTTTTTGCTTATTATAATATTAAGCATGTTACAGGTATACCATACAATCCTACAGGTCAAGCAGTCATAGAAAGATTAAATTGAACTATAAAGGATATGTTAAACAAACAGAAAGGGACATAATGTTTATTAACCTTGAATTTTCGCAGCGCTAATGAGAAAGGGACAAGGGCTGCACAAAGACATTGGACAATGTAAAAATCTGCTGAATTAAATCAACCAGTTTATTTTAAGTATGTGCTGACCTCACAATGGAAGCCAGGAGATGTGCTGCATTGGGGAAGGGGTTTTGTTCTTGTTTCCACAGGAGAAGAAAAATTCTGGATACCATCAAAATTAATAAAGGTTCGGTTTGAAGAGGAGGAACCTCTTGGAAATGAGAAATGACAATTCATCCACAGTGATGACAATCATACCAATGGTAAGAAAAACATATAGGATGGGGGCAGGGTTCTGTTCTTATCTCTGTAGGTAAACACTCATCTTCAAAGAATTCAAGGGACCCTGGATGTTTGAATACTGACAGATGGAAACTATTTACAACCTAATAAGGATTACCAAAAAAATTGATAGGTTCCGTATGTTAAATTATTCTAAACATATTTTTAAATTTGTATTAATGTGTATTTATTTATAAATATATAGAGCTGGTTTTGGAGTTGGACTCTGGCTCAGTCCCTCTCCAATTCCAAGCCTGTTAGTAAGAGATAGCCCAGAGTTTCTGTCTCATGTCAAGAGCCATGATATGGGACATAATAATAATAATAATAATAATAATAATAATAATAATAATATATAAACTTTCTTTGCCTTTCCTCATATCTGTTTCTGTCTTTATCATACCTTTCGTTGAATATATATGCTTGTATATGTCTTTATACATAATGCTTAAGTTTCCCATAAGAAACAATAAATTTTTCTGTAATAATCTTTGATGTTTCCAGGAAGAAGATGGGGCCACACAACATTGAATCCACCTAGTTAATATGGCATCATGATGTTGATGGCACTACTACAAGACCTGTTTTTGGTACCAGCTACAAAAGACAATTCCAATATGGTTAGCAGAAATGGTGCACATCTTTTACAACATTCTGGCCAGACCTCCACAAAATACTCAGACACTATTTGCAATTTTACCAGACCAAATATTAATCTTGCAATTTAACCATCATTTACTTTCACAGGACCCCCTAGGAAAAGTGTCGTCCCCATGACAGCTGGAAGCAATTTTAGAGGACAACGTCCCCTCTCCCAGCAGAGTTTGTCCTCAGGTTTAGGGACATCATTTAGGGGTTGGTTATAATTGGTTTGTGGTTGAGGCATGGGGGAGGTATTTTATAGGCTCAGGGGTGTTCTTGAAGAAAAAAAAAGAGGGATAGTTGGTGATGGGATAACAGATTGGTATTTGTGAGTTATTGTTTTTAGTATTGGTTATATTGGTATCGATTCTTATATATTGATACAAAGTTAAATGATATTGAATATTGTGGTGAATATGCTTCTACCTCTGTTTAAAACATTTTTATGTATTGATATATATATATATATATATATAGTATTGATATATGTATATTTACCATATTGCAATGTACATTTCTACCTCTGATCAAGATATTTATACATTGTTTACATTTGAACGTCATTGTTCTTATTTATTGCACAGTTGTTTATTGTCTTAGTCTTTAAGTTAGATAGGTATTGAGAATTGTAGATCAACAGTCATCTATGTCTGTCATATTTATAGTTAGGCTAACCAGGTTCTTTAGATACATAGAGATTATATTCATTGTAGATAGTATAATCTTCAACCTCTCAAAGAGCTGTAAAAAATGGCATTTAAGTTAATTTAGAGTTCTGTGGTAGTGAGACACAATCGCTCCTGGCAACACCAATCTATTCCAGGGAGATTGTTGAGCACCAAAGACGCTCCACTTGGAGCTTGTCTTTTTCTTGGAAGAACTGGCCTTTGGGCAAAGAAAAGCTCATACCTCGACCACTGACAGAGATACAGAGTATCCGAAAATAGATAAAAAATGACTGTCATATCCTGCCAAGACAGGGTAAGATAGTTCTGAAGTTTCTTGCCTTTGAAAATGGTATGTCAGTTACATTAGGCCTTAGCCAAAGTTGGTTGCTTCAACATTGCAAATGACCTTGGGTGATTGCCCAGGTAGTCAGTTGTCTCTGTCATTTGCTGCACATTTTGGAAGTTTCTTGATTGTACTTCCTGTTTACTCAAGTAATATTACTTCCCTTCTCAGATCTGTGATGGAGTTGAAGATCAGATAATTGTAGTTAACCTCCTCATGATTTAGCTAAACTTAATTTCAATACATTATTTAGACTCCTTGAAATAGAATGCTTAGTAAAACTTTTGTTATGTGTTTCTTGCTTAATATTGTTTATTGCTTGTAATTGCATATTTGGTATCTATTCCTATTGTATATAGTTGTATAGGGTTTGGTTCAATCTTGTTTAGACAAAAGGGGGAGAGGATGGGGAAGCTTAGCCAATCACATCTGGCTTGGGTGTGGCCACCTGGAGCCAGGTAGATAAACAGGGGAGATAGGTGCATGGGGGCTCTGTAGGGGCGGTGATCGCCTGGCCCGTTTGTACTTCGGACGTTCTCCAGTAGAGTGAGTTTTCCGTTTTTTTTTTCAATTATTAAATTATATCTGTTGTTTTGAGCTGATCTGGTTATTTTAGCGGTCGAATACGCCTTCACTTACAAGTAGTCTTGTAGCTGAGATGATGCCTAGACAGCGCAGAGCAGGAGAAGAGGCTTTTTAACCCTTGACCCTGTCACTTCTCCCTGGGTCTTACGCAGGGTGGCCTAGGCAGGAGAAGGCAGGTATATGCCGCCTGCATGGGTGCCCCTTAACAAAGAGAGGGGGTTTGTCAGGGGCGGCAAGGACAATGAAACCTGGTCTGGATGGTACCCACAGGCCTGCCTGGCCTCTTTTGCTCACCCTGCATTCCACACCCTTCTCTGGCTGCTTCTACTCGGATTCACCCTGAGCCACCACATCGAATTGAGCTCAGTGCCCACTACGTACACACAAGCAGGTGATACATAATGATGTTGGTGGCGAGTGCGTTCCAGACCCCTTGAAGGGTTTGGGGGAAGTAGTTGTTGATCAGAAACCTCTTCTGGCAGGTCCGGGTCCCTGAACTGTGAGCCCAGCACAGCTCAAGGAGAAAGCCATTTCTAAGAGAAAGCAAAGAAAATTCAGAGAGAGCCCTGCAGATAGAGAAGAGAGAGGATGGCAGGGAGGGAGTTATGTCTGTCATCTGACAGACATTGTGACACAATGGTTACCTGGCACTGAGCACCTGGTCAGAGATTCTGGATAGTGTATGCACTTTCCGGAAGGGAGCTGTGTGTGCTGCTGTGGAGGCTCAGCCAAAAGATAGGGGTTCCCTGGGCGGGCTTGTGCACACAATGTGGGCTGGCGGGCACCACAAGGTCGCCAAAGGAACTCAGTGGCAGCCCAGGATGCAGAATCCCCTGAAGAGTGGTTCTCTGATCCTTCCAGACAGGGCAGCCTTGGGACCCAGGAGAATGTGATTCCCGTGGAGAGCAAACCAAGGGCCTTGTGCTTGAGCAGCTGACCTTGGTCCAGCTTGCTCCAACACCTCTAGTGGGTCATGGAGATTCAGGAGATTGGTTTAGGCGCACTGGGCACACTATGGGAGCTATGCTTTAGCCAGTCCACAGTTATGTTCACAGAAGCACCCGGGAGCTGCTGGCGGGATCAGCAAAAATAATTCCACTTGATGGCAGTAGTGCACTGAGAATGCCAACTGTCCCAGGGCAAGGGTACACTCCCTTAGCCCTTTCCAAAGAAAAAAGAAAAACGAAAAAAAAAATGCCAACCCCAGTTAGCCACACTCCAAGATGGCAGTCAACCAAGCAACTAGGCCAGGATTGACCAGTGATGGGTGTCTAGGCCTGCTGCAAGGGATCCAAGGGCCTGTGGACCCTGAGGGGGTGGAGGAGTTCTGTGCAGAGATGGGCTTCATGGACCTCAAAGGCTTCTCCGCCACACTGGGCTTTGTGCTTAGGCCAGCCCATGAAGGCTCTGCCTTTGGTTCCAGGGGAGCTCTGCTTGCAGGCCTGCAGGCCATTGCAACCACTGCATGCCAATCTGGACCACCGGGGAGGAGCCTCAGAATCAAATTCCAATTCGTGGACTTGGGAACATGGAGCACAGGGTCACCATCTAGCTGTGCAGCCAGAGTATTCTGAGAGCCTCCCCCTACCCCTGTCAGAGATTCAGCAACTCCTTCCTTAACCCTGTCCCCCAATGTGAATGCAACGGCTGCCAGGTTGGCCTTGGCGCAGGTCACCTAGGACCCATGGAACAGAAACAGGTGTTGATAGGCACAATGGGTCTGCCCACTAACCTCCACGGTAAAACACCAGCACACATAAAATACCCCCAACCCTCAACAGTCCTACACTCTGCCCTCATTGGCGCTTCTCTCGGCTCTCCCAAGCCTAGTTTCTAGAAATAGCTAGCCACGGATAGAAGTGTCCATGTGTCTTTCCTTCATTTTTTAAGCAATAGGAATCCAAAAGGGGATCTGAATAAATTTACAAAAAGTAGATTGGCTACTTTGGATTGTGTGTTCCAAACACAGAATCAAGAGCAACCCTGTATCAGACAAGGATAAAATTGAGAACCAACTTAGAAAGTATGTCCTCTGTTCCCCATGAATACAATGGCTTAGGCACTCCATTTACATAGACTTTGCGAACACACACACCTTCTGCACATACACATAAGTTTCAAAAATACAATAGCTTGCAAAAAGAATTTTGCTGTTCTTGCTCTATTAGAAATACCTGTAATCTCAGCAGTGGGCCGATGAAAGCAGGAGGGTGTTAGGAACAAGGCACTAAGTCTGAAAAACAGAAAAAAAAATTGGATGAAGAGAACCCAAAGGTACTCACGCATATCTTCAGGTTAGAGTATGCACCAACTTAAGAGACATGGCTGTATGTGGAATGTTTCTAGTTCCATGTGTTGTTCAAAGACTAAACCTTGATAAACTCTGTTGGGTTGCAAAAACTGAAATGGAGATCTATCTAGTTTTCTATTGCTTTTTATATTAGTTCTTTCCTTTATCATTCTAGACTATAGACGAGGCTTTAGTATTCCTATGGTTGAGTAAAAACAAAGTGCAAAAAACCAAAAGCCATGGCCATATGTGAACCCATATGCATCATAGTAAATAAAGTAGGAACTATATGATATGTATCTCTTCAGAAATTGTAGTTTTCAATAATTTTGCTTTGGAGAGTATTATTTCAGGATGATTAACAAGAAATGCAAGGATATACAGGAACATATACAAATACAGACAAAGCTGTCATTTGCAAATAATTAGCATTTGGCCTAGTTTTTAAATAGGACTTGCTCAACCTAGCCATATTATGTATTTTTATAGAGTTTGGTATCTGAAATTATTTCTTCCATTAAAAAAATTAAAATTTAAGCTTCATTACCTTTTTAAGATCCCTGGGAGCATGTGACTCTATGACAAGGCAGTTTTATTTGTACAAGCAAGGTGTTAGTATCCACAATGAGTGCTGTAAAATCTTCATGAATATAATTTCATTTCTTCTCTAGTTCATAAAGCTCTAGTGTCTAGAATCTGGATCAGTGAAAATGTGGATAGCCTTTGTTGTGTGTCTTTCATCCCAGCAGTTGAGAGACTTAAGAAGGATCTCTGAGTTGGAGGTCAGCCTGGTCTACAGAATGAGTGAGTTCCAGTACAGCCAGGACTACACAAAGGCAACCATGTCTTGGAAAACTACAAAAAAAGTGAATGTCCCTGAAATTTTGTGAGAATGGGCCAATGAACATGCAGAAATGCAGCTTTTTTTGCTACTTTCCCTGCCCCCACAAAGATCCCCCAAATTAAAAGTTTTTACCAGTAATTTTGGAGAACAAAGCCATTACAGGCTTCTGCCTGCATGTCTGCTTGCAGACCAGAAGAGGGCACCAGATCTTATTACTGATCTTTCTGAGCCATGTTTTGGTAGCTTGAAATTGGACTCTGGAAGAATAGCCAGGGCTCTTAACTTCTGTGCCATATCCCTAGCCCTCTGCATATATTCTTACATTCCAGAAGAGGGCATCAGATCCTATATAGCGAATCTGGAAAACACAGTTTACAATTCATAGTTTCTAAGAGAGAAGTTGACCTCATTGGGAAGCACTAGGGTGGACTAAGGGTGGAGGGTTGATATAAGGGAGGGATAGGTTAGGAAGTAATAGAAAAGTCCCCTTGTTGTGATTTGTGTAGGTAGGAAGGTGAGCCAATTAAAGACTGTCTAATTTGAATGATTTCAGTGTGTGGCCCTCGGGAGACTAGGCCTAGGGAAATATTGGTGAAGGGGTTGGAGATGGAGGGTGTGTTGACTTCTGCGTTTTTGCAAGGGAAAGGCACTAATCCAAGGAGTATTTATTATGTCTAGGTCTTGGGTAGGGCATTGTCTCCAGGATCAGCAAAAGCATATGAGGTCACACCATCAGAATCACACAGACAAAAAGGCCCGATTAAAACAGGCTACTGTAAAATATTTACTTAATTTATTTTTCATACAGATGTCTGATTCAGGAGTATCCATGTGAGACCAGATCCATGGTAGAAAATAAAGGAGTAAAAGCACTGAAATCCCAAGGCAGGAGTGGTTTAAATTGGCCTTTGTTATCTAGAGCTGGGGGTGGAATCTGTGCTCTCAGAATTGCCACACAGGCTCTAACTGCCGAGCCACACCAGCAGGTTTGCAACTGACTTTTAAAGGCCACCATCAGTGTGGAGTTTGCTGCCTCCATTCCCTGCAATCTGCATCCCCAGGATTTTTTCCCAGTTGAGGCTCCTCTTATGAACACGTGCATGCTGATGGACCCAGCCTTGGGTCAAAGGCCCAGACTTCACTGGTTTTGTTTATCCCTCACTTATTTCCTGGCTGCTTAGGTAGAAGAAATAGAAGAACCAGAGGGAAGGGGAAAGAGAACAATGGAGTCCATGCGGTTCTTTATCCTGTCCACACAGGTGACTTTGTACTTCAGGTCAGCAATATCGTCATTGCCTTCCCCTGGAAAAGGTTCATTCCTGTTGGTGATTAAATATCTGTTTGTCAGGGATTGGGCTATGCTGTCATACTTACCTGTTATTTTTGTTTAAAATAGTCTTTCTATTTCCTTATGTATTTTTTCCTATTCACTTGTTTTTCTAATTTATTCTTAGAGGTAGAATCTCTGTCAGTGACCTGCAGGTATTCTGTTAAGATTCCTAGTGAATTCCAATAACAACAACAAAAAATAAATAAAACCCCTTGTTTCATGTTGTGTTTTGAGACAAGGTCTCTCTTTGTAGCCTTGACTGTCCTGGAACTCACTCTGTAGATCAGGGTGACTTCAAACTCACAGAAATCCACCCGACTCTGCCTCTTGAATGAGGAAAATAAAAGCATGTGTCCCCACCACCCCTTCTTTTTCTTTCTTTCTTTATGAGACATGGTTTCTCTAAGCTGCTGAGGCTGTCTTAGAAATGGTCATCCTTATGCCTCAGCCTTCTAAGTGTTGTAACCACAGGTGTCTATCACCATGCTTATTCAAACTATTTTAAGGCATTGTCATGTGAGTAGATTTTAAAAGGACTGGATTTCATGTTATCAATCACACAAAACCTTAAAAGGGCATCCTAATTCTGTGCTTGTCTGATAAGGCTCATTTGATATCCCAGGAATAAACTGACTCTGGTGGATACATCCAGGGGTATGGCCTTGGTATCCAATAGACAGTGGCTACATGATGCTTCTATTCTTCCTGCAGTGCACAAGATGGCCCACCTTACCTAACCTCTCAGAGAACGTTACCCACACCCAGTGACAACTGTAAAGAGGTTAAGAAAGCCTGCCTTAAAATTGGAAACTTAGGGGTGGGGGTGGGGTGGGGATAAGGGGATTTGGGGAGAAAAAAGTGAGAAGGGGAGGATGGGGAGAGCTTGGGAGAATGGGATCATTGGGATGGAGGAAGAGTGGATATGGGAGCAGGGAAGTATATATCTTAATTAAGGGAGCCATTTTAGGGTTGGCAAGAGACTTGACTCTAACAGTGTTCCCAGGAGATGCCCCCAGCTAGATCCTTGGGCAGCTGAGGAGAGGGAGCCTGAAATGGCCCTATCCTATAGCCACACTGATAAATATTTTGCATATCACCATAGAACCTTCATCTGGCGATGGATTAAGCTAGAGACAGAGACCCACATTGGAGCACCAGACTGAGCTCCCAAGGTCCAAATGAGGAGCAGAAGGAGGGAGAACATGGGCAAGGAAGTCAGGACCATGAGGGGTGTGCCCACCCACTGAGGTGGGGCTGATCTAATGGGAGCTCACCAAAGTCAGCTGGACTGGGACTGATGGAGCATGTGATTAAACCAGACTCTCTGAACGTGGTGGACAAAAGGAGAGCTGACTGAGAAGCCAAGAACAATGGCACTGGGTTTTGATTCTACTGCATGAACTGGCTTTGTGGGAGCCTAGTCTGTTTGGATGCTCACCTTCCTAGACCTGGATGGAGGGGGGAGGACCTTGGACTTCCCACAGTGCAGAGAACACTGACTGCTCTTTGGACTGGAGAGAGAGGGGGAGCGGGAGGTGAAGAGGAGGAGGGAAATGGGAGGAGGTGGAAATTTTTATTATAAATAAATAAAAAGCCTGCCTTAATCATTTCTCCTACCTGGCCAATGAGATTCTCCCATTTCAATGTCTGTACTTTAAAGGACACTGAAAAGATTAAAGGTGAAGAGGGAAGGGACAATGAATAAAATATTTTGAGGGGGTTGAGGATTGAGCCCAACACCTTCTAAATGGATAGTTCTCTTCTACTGAGCGATATACTCTTACTGCAAAATATCTGGTAAATTAGAGGAAACCATTACATGTTCAATTTTTTGTATTGTCCTTAGTTGCACACCTCAAATTCAACCCTCATAATAGAATCTAATACAAATGATTTTATAGAATGCAACGGAAAAAGGAGGAAATTTAGGTCAACATAGTCTTATTGGTATGGGGCAAAAGTACAGAGACTTAAGGCAGGCATACCTGCAAAACTGGCAGTAGGGAAACCAAAGTTGAAAAACCCAAGTTCAAAACCATCCTGAAGTACACAGGAAAACCTATCTCAAAAGCAAAACAGTGAACTGGAGAGATGGCTCAGTCATTAAGAGCACTTACTGATCCTTCAGAGGACCCAAGTTTCATAGCCAGCACCCTCTTCTAGCAGATCACAACAGCCTGTAACCCTAGATCCAGGGGAAACAGTGTCCTCTGCAGGCCATCTACCCCCAAACATATGATAGGAATAAAAACAAACATTTAAAACCAAACAAATAAAAAAAACAGAGACTAATTATTATGCAAATGCCTTTATTTGAACTACTAAGTTGCTACCAAATTACATCACGTTTCAGAGTTAGAATAACATAATAATCTCGAGAACTATAGCAAAAAGCTTGACAAAGCAAGAGAACATCAAGTCCGACATACATACATTCTCTTTCTCATAACCACATCTTTGTTATAGGTGTTGAATTTAAAAATCTATTGTTCATTTGGCATTCTTTGCTTATTGAATCATCATCTAAATTCTGAGCTCACTTACTTCTCCTAAGTGTCATGTTAAGCAGAATTTTAGATTGAAAGAGAGTTCTGTGATTAAATTTACAGACCAAAGAAGCAAGTGTCGAACTGACTCACGGAAGACAAAATATTCCATTTGATTTGAGCCTGGGTGTGAGGGGAAAATATAACCTTATGGTCCATTTTCCTCCATCTATAGTCTATGCTTATTTTCATATTTACTTGAAGCCCCTTAAAAACGTAGCAAATCAGCAGACTTGTTGACTGTAATCAAAATATTCTTAAATGTACAAAAAATAATCATGTAGAAAGAATACTGTAAAAAGATACTGATTTTAAGAATAAACGAATGAGAAAAGCTTCTATTACATTCCACACAGCCAGTTACTTCAGATTTTCAGCACTACAAAGTAAGCAAAGGACACTTCCTCTCCACATAGTATCTGACCACAGTTCTTCAGTAAGAACTGGTAGGTCTTGGAAAGCAAAATGGCAAGCTAATACTAGTCCTATCTACCCATGTAAGCAAGCCTCAAGAGATGGACATCCTAAGAGTGAAAAGATTCACGGAGAGATAATACACAGTGACAGGAAATATCAAGGGCAGCATTCTAGGAGGAGAGGGCAGACGGTCTGTTGTGAGCATGTTCGGGTGTGCTGGACAGATCCAGCTCGAAGGAAAAGAGGAATTGCTTGTTACTAAAAGTCTTTCCAGAAGGCTGTCATGATGAGCTAGACTTGTTAATCAAAATTGAAAGTCCTTTAAATGACCACATATTCCTTAAGTCATGAGCACTTCACCTGGCAATAGCTGACTGGCTAATCATGCACCTGTGAGTAAGGTTGGTTCTATTCAGATTGGTTATTTTACACTCTCTTCATCCCCCTGCCCATCAAACATGCAAACACGGTCATGACCATCTTGGGTTTTACTTCCACAAGGTCTTCAGGGAGAGCATACACTCTGGCTCCGATCCTTCTAGCCATTGACACGGCATACCTAGATTTGGAAGAGACAAAAATCAAGATAAGAGTCTTCTTTGCCAAGGATACCTTTGAATTTTTTTTTAACCTTTGAATCTTTTAAAATGATTTTTTTTAAATTTTTGTTTTTATGGTGTTTTGTCTGCATGTATGTCTGTGTGAGGGTATTAGATCCCCTGAAACTGGAGTTACAGAAGTTGTGAGCTGCCCTGTAGGTACTGGGACCTAAGGCTAGGTCCTCTAGAAAAACAGTCAGTGTTCTTAATCACTGACCCAGGTCTCCAGCCCAAAGGACACTATCTATTTCCTCTTATACAATCTGGTGACTGGGATACAAAATTTCTATATTGAAAGTACAAATCAGGGAACTGGGCATGGTGGCACATGCTTATTACCCTAGCACTCTGGAAGCAAAGGCTGAGGTCCAAGGGTCGCTGTAAGTTTGAAAGTAGTCAGAACTACACGGTGAGACAGTGTTTCAAAAAAAAGAAAGTACCTATTAATAATTACACATTTGTTTTCTGTTTTATTTTTGTTTGGAACTGATTTTTGAACTTATACTAAATCAAAACATGAGATTTATTTATTTAATTTTATGCGTATGTGTGTGTTCTCTTCATGCAAGAATGGGCACCACATGTGTTCCTGGTGATTTAAGAGGTCAGAAGAGGGCATTAGATCTCCTGAAAGCAGAGTTATAGAGGTTTGTGAGCCACCATGTGGTTGCTGGGAACTGAACCCAGCAACTGTTAAGAATAGCAAGTACTCTTAACTGCTGAGCCTCCATCTTTCCAGCTTTAAGTTATACTAAGTTTTTACTGTCTACTATTTTGGACTTTATTTACTCATTTCTTCCAAATGTGGATGTGGAGAAAAAACAAAAGCTTTAAGCACTGATGTCATATAAAATGAAGTGTGTGTGTGTGTGTGTGTGTGTGTGTGTGTGTGTGTGCAATTACCCAGGATGAATGCACAATCAATTACAAAATTCTCTATTCCATGTAATGAGATAACAGATACTTTTCTTTGGTGAGTGTGATGCTGGGAATGGAACTCAGGGACTTTTTTATGCTACTTCCCAAACATTAAGTGCCTGAAGTAAAACTCAAATGCTAAGGTCAATGTACCAGGTACTTCCAGATACTGAAGCAAGAGCTAGATTTGAGGATCTGCATGCTACATAGAGAATTTTTGGGCCAAGGACAGACAAAGTATAAGATAAAATGACTAAAATGTGCAGCTAAGAGAACAGGCAGAATCAAACCTCAAATGATTCAGAAAGCATTTCCAATATGCTGCTACAGGAATCTTTATGGATATTAAAATACAACGTTTTCAGTATAAATACTTCTCAAAGAATAAAGAAATGATGTGCATAATTTCCACGATTTTGAGGGTAGCATCTTTCTTCTCCTACAAAGCACTGCTGAGAACTGGTTATCAGCATGTATTGGTAGAGTTATCATGGGTCTCCTAGTAAACTAGGGCACAGTCTTGGTCTTTAGTGAAGAAGGGAAGAAATGGTGGAAAGACCTACATATTGCTATAATGTAAGAAACTTCCAAGACTCAGGCTTCTAGTAAGGGATAGCAAGTGAGCCCTGCTGATTTGGGGACTGAAGAGTGTTTGACTCATAGTAATAACAGAGGCATAATTGGATAATATGTTTAAATAAATTAAAAGATATAGACAAACTCTCTAAAGTATGGTCAGCCATCCTTTTAAGTGTTGTCTTTGCCTTGTTTGAAGTTCATACATATTTGCATTAAATTGTCCCAATAATCCCCTAAAGCAGGTGTTTAAAATCTTGAAGGTCAGACACATTGCTAATTTCCTTTTGTCTATTTGTTGATTATTTGTTTCTTGACAGTGTCACACTGTGTAGCCCAGGTTGTTGTTGAAATCATCATCTTCCTGCCTCAGACGGCAGAGTGCATAGATTAGTGCTATATGTCATTACACCCAACATACATGGTTCTTAAAATGGGGTGGGTGGGGTCTAAGGATGGAGCCCAGTGCCTCATTCATTCATCCCAAGCCCTATACCACTCAGCTACACCCCATCCTTTCTTGTGTGTTTTCCTATTTTGAGACTGAGTCTTGCTATTTTGCCTAGGTTGGCTGAGAATCTGCCCTTTTCTTGCCTTACCCTCCAGAGTAGTTGGACTTCTAGGCTTGTATCACAATGTCTTGTTTCTTAATTTGTTTTTATACATTTAAATCTTAAAGATTGTACTTATTTATTTGTGTGTGCCTGTGTATATGGGATGCGTACTTATGGTGTATGCATAGAAGGTAGGGAACAACTTGTAGGAGTCAGTTCTTTGTTTGTACCATGTGGGTACTGGGGATCAGATATTGTAGTAAGAGCATTTACCTGCTGATCCGTGTTGGTGACACTTATAATTTTTCTTAAATTAATTTTAAACCTTTGAACCCTGTAAAATAAAAGTTTTCTTCATCTTTTTTTGTGATGAACTTGAAGCTTAAAGATGTTTCCCTTATGGGCTAGAGAGATGGCTCATTGACTGTTCTTCCAGAGAACCCAGGTTAAATTCCAAGTACCTATATGATGACTCAAAACAATCTGGAAATCCAGTTTCAGAGGATAAGGCACAGTCTTGTGGCCTATTCAGGCAACAGGCACACAAGTGGTACACAGGCATAACTGTAGGCAAAACACTCCCACACATAAAATAACAATATAGGTGGAAAATAATATTTTTCCTCACAGAAATAAGATCACACCATATTTGTATTTTTGTGTTTGACATTCATCTCCATAGTCACCCACGCTGTTGCAAATGATAGAACTGCATTCATATAGAGGCTATATAGGTTTCATTGTCTTGTGTGGGCTCCATAAAGTTATTCTTACTAAAGGACAGAGGCTTGGGTATTTATGTAAAGGGGTAAAATGAGGAGATGTTGGTGACAGGGATATATAATTGGTGGTAAATAGTGAAGAGATGAAATGGTCAAGAATAGGCAAGCACAGCTAGAAGCTAAGTTGTTTGCTGCGTGCTCACGAGTAGAGTGCAGTGACAATGAGGAGTGATGCTCAGGAAGGTTCTGTTACTATTTGTTAAGTGTTCTAAAATTGATTGTGGTGATTGATGAAACAGTGTGAACAAGGTCAAAACCATTAGATACTGTACTTAAATGAGTGAATTGTATGTCTGTGAACGGGATCTCAATAAAGCCATTCAAAGTAAAGAGATCTTTTCCAGATGCCATCACTATCCAGGGAAAGAACCCAAATTAGAGTGGATTTCCTGCCTATAATACCAGTGTTCTTTGTACGACATGGAGCAACTGCCCTTACTTGGCATTATTGTGCTTGAAATCTTCAGTAAGATTCCCGCTCTTAACAAGGTCATAATTAATGCAGCCTGGCTGGATGGCATCAATTAAATCCACAACTGCCAAACTGGAGCTGATCGTCTTGTCCTATTAAAAAAAGGGAACAAAAAGTCTAAGAATTTCACTACTTACAAATTATGTGCTCTTGATGTAAGCCTGGGCAAGGGAAGAAAAATATTGGCATAGCTTAAAAATAATTCTTACAAACAAACCCAAAGATATCCTTAAAATAATTGCTATTATCTAGCAAATATAATGTAGAATGATCAGTATACTGACCTTAAAACTCTGAATGGAAGTTGACTTTCCAGCTTCACTCAGTGTTCGGTTCACCCAGTTTACAATGATGTCATCATTCGCTTTCTGACCTTCTCCAAGATCTTCCAGAACATTAAGGGTGTATCTAAGGGAATCAGCAAAGAAAGTCAATCTATTTGAAGAAGAAAAACGCAAGCAACAGAGAAATGTCTCATGTACACTTTTATCATGAAGAGTTCTTGGGGGCTGGCAAGATGGCTTATTGGGTAAAGCAACTTGATGCCTGTGTCTGACATCCTGAATTTCATTCCCAGGTCCTACAGTGGGTGGCGAAAGGTGATTCTCAACATTTAATCTCTGACCTTCATCTGAGCTGGTATGAGCCATGCTCTACTCACTTACACACATGTGCCTCATACCCTGTGCTTTGGCTGATACCTATGCAGAATGAATGCTTTGGCTGTTATTTTTAAGAGATGTTCATTTTCCAAGTGGATGGGAAGACTATAAGGGCCAGAACTCAGAAAAGAGTGCTGTGAAACAGCATCATCTGGACCTGCTGCACTTAGAACTCAACAGTGGCTGTGGTTGCCTGCAAAAGCCCCATACAGGATCATTGGCAGTTTATGCCACTGGGTGATAGGCAATATTTTATCATGAAGTGTAACCCTAATAGTATCCTATTAGTATCCTATTAGTATATTATAACCCTAATGGTATCCCATGCTCCAAATGGATTGTCCCACACTGTATATATGGGCAGCATTAATTGAACTCAGTGGGCTATTTTTAAAAAGCATTAAAGTAGGAAGGGAAAGTGGAGGAAATCCAGCAGGAGTTTGAAGGGCTAGAAGTGGGGTTGGATATTATTAGGGCTCATTGCATACATATATGAAATTCTCAAATGATTATTAAAAATATACTAAAATAAAGGACTCTTCAATTTCTTAAAAATTATAGTTATTATATGCATGTGGATACATGTATACCATAGTATACCTATGGAAGTCAGAGAACCATTTGCAGGAGATGTTTCTGTTCCTTCACCATGTGAGTTCCAGGGACAGAACTCAGGTCATCAAAGGCCTTTAACCAGTGAGCCATCCTGCTGGCCCAGATCTTCATTTTCAATTGGATACATATAAATGTTCCTATTTCTTCTTATACTTTTTGGGAGGGGGCTGTTCCTTTGGGGCAATTTTTCACTCTATAGTTCAGGATGTCCTACAATTCTCTATGTAGCCCAAGCTGGCCTCCAACTTGTCATCCCCCTCCTCAGACTCCTAGATGCTGAGATTTCAAGTATGAGTCACCATTCTGGGCTTCTGACAACTTATTTGTTTTGGTAGTCTGAAAACAGCCTCCATGCAGGCTAAGTATATCCTGGACCACTGAGCTAGAGTCATACCCCAAATGACATTTTTGTTTGTTTGTTTTAGATTTTTGAGACAGGGTCTCTTTGGGTAGCATAGGAGCCTGTCCTGGAACTTACTCTGTAGACCAGGCTAGCCTTGAACTTACAGAGTTATGTCTGCCTCTGTCTCCTGAGAGCTGGAGTTAAAGGCTGTGCGTCACCACTGCCCGGCTCATCTGACAATTTTCTTGAGTGACCCTGCATCAGACTGAACTCTACACAGCAGACTTCTCTGAAAGATTGGCAACAACTACAGTTCTATCTAACTCACAAGGAGGTATTTCCCAGTAAAGATCCAACATATACTCACAGAAAACTCATTTCAGAGCCTAAGTACAATGAGCTCAGAAATGTATTTCATGAACTAAATGATTAATTTAAATCTGTGAAAACATACTAAGGGTGAATTCACAGACCCGTATTACTATGAAGCTTTATGGCTAACACTGTACACAATACCTTCTCATCAGCTGCCAGACTAAAGCCAAGGTTAAAGTTGGGTTCCCATCATTCAAGTCTTGTCCTCCAATGCCAACCAGGGAGAATTTAGCTGGATGCTTCCCTAATTCAACTGCGTAGTTGCAGTTTTCTAACTGCAAATGTTTAAAAAGAAAGGAATGGTTAAAGATTGTCATTTGTTCAACCTACATATGCTCTGTCTCCCACCCCTCTGTGAGTAAGCGCACAGTGTATGGATATGTGCGTGCATGTGCATGTGTGTTGTGTAATGGCAGGAATCTGTTCAAAGTCAAGATGCAGTTCCTATCCTCAAGAAGCAGCTTATGGTCAAGAGGTTTTGAAGCAAAAGAAAGAAATGAAGAAAATTCCAGATGTGCTACCTTTTTCATGTTGGCTCCCAGCTTTGGGTATGGAGGCTTGTTAACTTTACTCCAGTCCACAGGAACTTTAATTCGTTCATAAAGCTGTAAGATGACCAGGGCATCTTGCAGGTCACTAACAATTCAAAACATAACTTCATCAATAATTGTAAGGAGTAACACGGATCAAACAAAATCTATAAAGTCACAATACCCATGACTCATACTTTTCTCAATCAGTAAATGCAATGAACAAAACTAATAGTAGGTAATGAATGGCAGAAGGTAGGAAAATAGTGAAGAAAGAGAATCCAGTTAGGATACACACCATTGAATATCAGCAAAAACAGTCTAGCCAGGAAGCTAAAGGCCTGAAGGAATCATGGGTAGTTGGCTATAACTATTCCCAGACTGTTTAAGAAACCCAAAGTACCTGTTCCCTAAGGTACCATCAAGAAATTTATATATTCTATTTCTTACAGTCAATGATCATGCAAAGAAAAAATTTGGACTTTCATGCATTAGGAAAATAACAATTGAAATCACTAATATGAAATATTAATATGCAATATGAATAGTTGCTACAAATGAACATGCAGAAAAATTTCAGAATTGTCATTATTTATGCTAAATCCATTCATGATGTTCATAACTTCATAATTGCAGTAGGGTAGCTTACGCATAGAGATGGTTTACATGAGGATTAACACCAAGAAAGTTCATCCAGTTACGAAAAGTTCTTTCTTCACGAGTTTCTCCTATTAAAACATCCACAAAAATGCATTCAGTCATTAAATGTCTTCTATATAAACAGAGAGGACCAGTGCATATATTCATTTATTTTATGTGCTTTATTCTGATCTAATAATTACCATATGATAGTATGTCACTGTGACTATGGATAACTGAAATACACTTACTAAAACATAGGTTAAATTCAGCATGTAGTCGTTATCTTTCTGGTGGGTTTAAAAAGATGATCTAGTTAGACTCGGGACTCATGTCTATAATCTCAGTCTTTATGAGGCTGAAGAAAGACGATCGCTAGGAGTTCGAGGCCAATCTTAGACTATGTAGTGTGTTTCAGACCAGTTTCCACTCTAGGATAAGATACTGTCTCACAACCACTTGCAGGGCTCTGGGGAATGTAACTAAGTTTGTAGAGTGCTTGCCTAGGGTGCATGACTGTAACACTCTTAAAACTGCAGATAATACCTGTAATCCCAGCACTTGGAGGCAGGAGAATCAGAAACTGAGGGCCATTCTTTATGACATAGTGAGTTCGATGTCAGCCTGAGATACATGGAATGCTTGACTCAAAATAGATGACTAGGTTAAAAAACTCAAACAAACAAAAGACTCTTTTCTCCTAATAAATAAATGTGGGGGTTAATAAAACTCAAACCTGCCTTACCCCCCCCCAAAAAAAGATATATCAGTAAAAACTGAAACGAAACATTTGCTTACTAACTAGTCTCATGATAGTACCCTGGATTTTTATTTTCTTTTTTAGTTTTGGCTGCGCTAGACAAGAGTGCTGGCACTGAGCCACACTAACAATTTTATTTGCAAATTTTATTTCTGTCACCATCTCTATCCGGCAGTTTCCAGTTCTCATTCAGCCCTGCATTTGCTTTTAGCAGATTCTCGCAAAAGCCAAATGGACAAAGCAACTCACAGGGTTGGCATCGCAGCATTTAGCTTAGGCCTCTGGGTTTTTATGCCACAGACTGCACATTAGAGTTACAGAAAACTTTTACATTACCTTCTAGTAGAGTCCAGTCAATGTCCTGATTTTCAGGCTTAGTAAGCGCTGGGTATTTATTAAAGAGGTTAGCTACAAAAGCTAAGTTCAGTTTGGGGTTTCCGCTGACAACATCAGCAGGGGTAACGAACTGTCTGCAACCCAATTTATCTGCTTGTTGAAGCATACTTTCCGCTCTCTTCAAGTCATCTGTTTCCTGTTTAAGCAAAAGAAGACATCTTTGAAAGGCCATCCGAAAATATATATAAATTGCCCCTATAATCATAGGCTGGGAAATGGATTGTACTTTCCTTCAGTTAACACATGGTACTTTTTATATAATCATTTGTAAATGTAAAACCAGGAGGCACAGGTTTTGTAGTACCTTTAATTTCCCCAAGATGGCGCCAGAACACATGTCTAAAGAATGAATAAAGCACTTACTTCACTGGGATTATTTCTCATGCCAAAATGCAGAGGGGGGAAAAAGCTGTTACTCATTTTTTCAGCCATAATTCTTTGAAGATTCAATTTTAAATATGTGTAGTTTCAGAAAAACCTTCTTTTTTAAAAAAAAATCTCTTCCAACCCTATATGTCTGAACATGCAGAATTCCTGGATGCAGGTTGAAGTGAGTGTTGGGAAGATCACTATGCTCTCACCAAGAGTAGCAAACACTCTTAACAGCTGATCCATCTCTCCAGGCCCTTACTTTTTACTTAAAGAAACATATCTGAAAAAACAAGCAAGCACACCCTTGGAGTTGAAAGGGATGTTTGGGCTGGGCAGTGGTGGTGCATGCCTTTAATCCCAACATTTCAAAGGCAGAGGCAGGAGTTGTCTCTGTAACTTTAACTTCAGTTTTGTCTATAGAGCAAGTTCCAGCACAGCCAAGGATACACAAAGACACTCTATTTTGAAAAAACAACAACAACAACAAGAAGAACAAAAACAACAACAATAAAGTAAATAAAAACTAAAAAAGGGAGCAGGCGTTTGAAGCAGTGGAAGACAGCAGCATGGAGGTGGGAAGAGAGGTTTGTAGGGGTAGATTGAAAGAAATGGGCAATATTTTGTAAGAATTTACATCTAAGAAGATCAATTTAGCCCAAATTCTAGAGCCAGTGGCGAATCCCGGATGGCTATTCGGGCAAGACACAAAAGAATGTAGTAGGAAAAATCAAATAGGGAGGATTTGCTGGTGTGATGGCTCACCTTAACTGTCAGCATGACTTAGAGTGACCTAGGAGACACACCTCTGAGCATGCCTGTAATTGTATTTCCAGAGAGGGCAGGATACCCCAAATAGTTCCCCATAATGAACAGACTGGCCTTTAATCCTATGCATGGTGAATAAACCAGAGTATGTATTTCTCCATACTCGCTTTAAAAGTGTTACATCATTCACAAAATCCAGTACCACCATAATTATGGAACTCACAAATGATCTAAATCAATCAGGATACTTTGTCTCTTGTGAGTCACATGTACCACATTCTTTAAAAAAAATTCTTAAAAGCATCAACACCACTATATGAAGGTACATAGAAATTTTGAACAAAATTATTTGGGTGTGGCACTTGCATTTAATCCCAGCAGTCAGAGGCAGGTGGACCTCTATGAGTCTGCCAGTCTGCTCTACATAGCAAGTTCTAGGCCAGGTAGGGCTACATAGCAAGACCTTGTCTCAACAAAACCAAAGAAAACAAGAAACAGACAACATTAGTATAGGACTGTAGAATTTAAAAGAATACCCATACTTACATTGAAACCTGACATGTTGATATCTATCCGTGGTTCACCTTCCTTTTGTCCTTTTGGTGCAATTTGGTTGAGCAGATGGAAATAGGCTTTGGAGTCCTACAAAAGAGTTGAAGATATCAGTGTGATCACGTGTGCAGAGAGGAACTGCATCTTACTGTCCTGTGGTGACAAGGACATTTGGATCACTTTTATGTGTGTGTGTGTGTGTGTGTGTGTGTGTGTGTGTGTGTGTGGGTGTGTGTGAAAATAGATAGCATTCTTCTCTGTCTTCTTATTTGAGAGATCTTTACCAAGAAAAGTCCATCTGTCTTGAATTTGATTTTGTTAAAGCTTTCCAATGTATTGATGTCATCAACACAATAAAGCTAGTGCATGTTTCTGTACCTTCACTGAATTACTGAAGTCAAGAAGCTTGACAGATAATACAAGCATAAAATAGAAGAGCAGAAATCCCGGAAGCATAGGGAAAGAGAAAATAAACACATTATATCACTACAAAGCACAATAAATATCAACCTCTAGAGACAACATCTGCGTTGTTAATTATATATTTAATTAAAAGTAGAACTGAAGGTCTTAAAAGAGATACAAATATGGTTGGTAAAATAACATTTAACCTTTTAGGATCAGAATACATGTAGCAAAACAAATTCATTTCTCCCCGTCTCCCACTGAGCCAGGTACTGAGGTTAAGGCCTCACATGACCAACAAATGCAGTAATTTTTTTTTTTGCTTTTCAAAAACATTAAAAAAGAGATTTCCACTGAATATGCACATTGGTATATGCCTGTATATATTCTTTAGGAAGATGCAGGAAAATTGCAAAATTTGAAGCCAGCCTGGCTGACACAGTGAGCTGCAGCTCCACCAGGAATACAAAGTGAAATCATATCTGAAAGAAAGCAAACTGGACTCAGTTACTAGAGGGCTTGCCTGGCATGTGTAAAACCCTAGGTTTAATTCTGAATCCCCCACAAAACTGAGTGTGGCAACTCATATCATCCTCAACTACATAGCTGACCTGAGGCCTTCCTGGGCTACAGAGGACCTTGCTTCAAACAACAAACACAAAACAAACAACAAAACCAAGAAAAATAGAATCATATAGCTATGGTGGCATGTGTCTGTATGGCAGCACTCAAGAAGTAGAAACAGAATTGCAGTAAATTTGAGGCCAGCCTTGTCTACAACAGTGATGCCCAGTACAACCTGTGCTAAACAGCAAGAGTCTTTCTCAAAACACAAGAGGCAGCAAGGCTTGGTGACACCGTATAATTTTTGCTTTGTTAAAAAGGAATAAAACCTCATGAGTCATTACAACTCCCTGAATGCTGGTGCTTTGCTTAGTTACCTTGATGTCAGCACTGAAGTTGTTGATCTTTTGCCAGCCTGAGTTTTCCAGATGAAAGTTGGCCCATCTCAGCAGAAGCTCTTCTGGAGACAATTTCATAAGCTCCTCCAAAGTCTCACCATCTCGAAGCAAAGCCGCCAGAGCTTGTAGACATAAACCCTTCAGTCATTATGTGAAGTGCTAGTGGCCATGCTCCCCCCGCCCCCGCTTTCTCTCTCTCTGAGTTTTACTTTGAGACAAACCCATGTCAGCCTCAATCTCATGATCTCACTGCCCCAAACGCTGGGATTACAGGCAGAGAGCAGCATACTTAGTTTCACACAGTCTTTTGACGCTCTGTTCGGTGGTAACATAGATGTAAGTTCTACTACAACTGATTTCTAGCTTTGAGACACCCAGAATCTGTGCTGAGGAGATGGGCTCAATCAGCAAAGAAGCTTCTGTGAAAACACACAGGGGCCCGGAGTTCAATTGCTAGCACCTATGTGAAAAAGTCAAGTATGGCGGCCTAAGTCTATACTCTTAGAACTGCAGAAATGGAAGTAGGGGCTCCTCTGGGGCTTGCTGCCCAGCAGTCTAGCCAAACTGGTGAGCTCCAGATTCAGTGATAGACCTTGTGCTGGGACTGGAGAGAGGAACTTGCTGGTAGATTGCTTGCTGTGCAAGTATGAGGACCAGAGCTTGGATTCCACAACACTGGAGAAAGCTGGCGGCAGTGGTGTGCACCTGTAATCCCACTGTTGGGGAGGTGGAGACAGAAGGATCCCTGGGGCTTGCTACCAAATTGGTAAACTGGAGGTTCAGTGAAAGCTCTGTCTCAAAAACCACAGTGGAGAGTGCTTTAGGAAGGCACTCTATGTTGATTTCTGGCCTCCACTCACAAAGGCATACACACTTGTAAATCACATGTCCTCCTCCCCATAAACCCATATACTCACATGTTCTCACCCACATGACCCCCCACACACAGAAAAAAGCCCTAGGTGGAGAGAGGCTGAGGTAGACACCAGAGTCAATCTCTGCGTTGCTGCATCTTTATAGTAAAATCAAATATGAACTGTCATGCATATGTTCGCAACAGCTAAAAAACAGGTGTACGGGTTGTTTTCCTGAACAGCTCTGTGTTTGCACTAGTTAACATGTTCTCACTTCAGCTAAATGCAAGAGAAAGAGGAAAAAAAATCACTCATAAATATCTTTCAAAATAACAACTGGGTTCCATTACCTTCATTCCTGCTTAATTCAATGTCAGCGAACAAGCCAATCTTAATAATCTGCCAGAGCAGTCCCAAAACCAGATGAGGTTTCCCCGCCCGCAAATCTTCTGCACCAATGTTCACAACGTGACACCCAATGGCAGAAGCGGAGTTCAGTGCCAAGTTCAAGTTTCCTGCAAGACAGCCAAATTATACACTTCTTGACCTTTCTTCCCCCACCCAGTCTACTTTTGCCTTCACTGAAAATAACACTAAGAAATCAATACGAGGTATTAGTTCCATCCACCCCAACATTCACAGCAAACAGAATTCTGCATTAAAAAGCAAAGCAGCAAATCTCCGCCTTGTTCCTATTATTTTTGTAGAATTCTACAGAAAGTGGACTTATATATATATTTTTTGGTCGCCTTGAATTCTGCTGATTTTAAAGTAAAAAGTCAAGTAACCAAAGTAAATCTATCCACGTGACTAGTGTCACGTTTCTAAAATTGCCTAAATGTGAGTCCAGCAGCACATGGCACAAAACCTGCACATCTCAAGGGACAGTCCTGCCCCAAGGAATGCTGCTATACTAATCTACTACTCACTAGCTGGAAAATGAAAAATGCTCCACCCTTTCAGCATACGAGCTAAGTAATAGCTTATGTCATTTTGTTTATTTCGGCAATATCATAACACAATAGGTAATAATAAAAGGAACATAGGGCTTTAAGTTCAATGAGGATCTGTGCCTCCATGAACTTCAGCAAGTTCTCCAAGCCTTTCTGAGTCCCAGCTTGTTGTATAAAATATCCAGGATCATTCCCCACTCAGAGCTGCTCTTGCGTATTAAAGTAGAGCAGATAGAACACAGAAGATATGGCCTCTATTTCAAACCATGGTATCACGGAGGAGGACACAGGGAATGTGGCAGACCTGAATGATGAAGGGCGTAAGTTTTTTCTTGTTGATTGCTCTCTCATCAATTGTATCAGGAACTGAAAGGTTGATCATTTTGCTGAAATGAACAAACAAAAGTTGATCTACTTTTAGAGTCTCTAAAGTTAAGAGAAGTTGTTCGCTTTTTAGAGTGCTTAACTAGCATCCATGAGGCCGTGGGTTTGATCCTCCAGAACCACATAATTGGGATATGGAGAAGCTTTGATTCCCAGCACTGGAGTATGGAAGCAGAAGAATCAGGAGTTCAAGGTCATGTGTAGACTACCTAGCAAGTTGGAGGCTAGCTTGAGACACAGGAGATCCTGTCTCAAACAACAACAGTTTGTAAATCTTCACCATTGTTAAAGTTTATTATAAAATACCCCTCATTCAGTCTTAAAAATACAGTAGATTTGGAACTGAAGAGATATTTAAGATTACTTACTACTCTTGCAGAGGTTTGCTTCCTAGCACCCACACTGCTCACACCTGCCTGTAAGTGCAGATTCAAGGGATCTTATGCCCTATGCCCTCTTTTGACCTCCACAGGTATCTTTACACTTTTCGTACACATAAACGCATGTAGGCACACACATAATAAAAATAATACAAAATGTAATAGATGACTTCCATCATGTTCACCACAAGAAACTACATGTGTCCAAAATGCATATTACATACATAATGACATACTGGGGCATCCTAGTTAGAATAAACATTTTATTCATATTTCATATACACATATGCATATACACACATACAAGATATACAACTTGAATATAAATTCTGCTTTTTGTTGTGCTAATGTTGTTTTGTTGCTTCTCTTCTTTCTTTCTCTTTTTATTTTTTTCTTTTGAGACAGGACCTTGCTATACTTCCCTGGCTATCCTGGAACTCACTATGTAGTTCACCAGGCTGGCCTCAAACTCACAGACATCTCTCTATCCACACCTTGAGTGCTGGGATTACAGGCATATGCCACCACGCCCAATGTAGTGCCAAGTTTGGGAACCAAAGCCATGAACATATTAGGCATACACTGTGCCACTGAAGGCAATTTTATGCAGTATTTTGGGAGCACCTATGCTTTGACTATCATTTGTCACCTAAGGCCAGCTGTGGAGTGTTCCACTGTGGCATCATTATCAGAACTTGAAAAGTTTCCGATATTCCTGTAACTAACCTTTAACCCTTGCTCCTGTAAGTAAGCCTGATGAAACTCACTGGGTCACTAAAAAAAAAATAAGATAAGAAAGTAGAAGGGGGTGAGATGGGAAGCAGAAGGGAATCAGTAGGAGTGGGAAGGGGATAGGATAGGAAAGGACAATATTTAGGAATATGATCAAAATTGATTGCATATATACTATATGTATATGAAAAGTTCATAATGAAACCCAGTATCATGTATAATTAGCATATGCTAATAAACATAACAAAAATAACACAAAAGTTTGAGATTTGGGTTTTTGCATTAGGGATGCTCAAATTGTATATGATACTATGAAGCTCACAGTGGAAACTGAAATGTAAAGGATTTGACTATCTACACTCCAGCCACAGGGTTACTGAGGGGGAGGGCTTGCACAATAACCCAATATTTGGCCAGGCCATGGTGGTGCATGCCTTTAATTCCAGCAGAGGTAGGGGGCAGAGGCAGGCAGATCTCTGTGAGACCAGCCTGATGTATAAAGCTAGTTCTAGGATGGCCAAGGCTATACAAAGAAATCCTGTCTTGAACAACCAAAAAGAAAAGAAAAAGAAACCCAAAATTTATTATGGAGCATATTTTAGATCACTGTGGAAAACTGTCTCTGAGACCAGGAACCGTAATGGACAATGTTGATAATCTTACATCATTTTTGCCAAGATACTGCTGGCTCTGGGGCAGCCACAGGGACAAAAGCGTTTTTTGTTTTTTTTTTTTTTTGTTTTGTTTTGTTTTTTTTTTTTTCCAGAATTAGGGCACTGAAGAATGAGAACTGAAAGCTAGCCTCTTTTTTCCCTTTGGAAGCCAAGGTATTTCAGAATAAATAGATACTGACATACTTAAGTTTGACAAAGTGGCAATGTCCTGTTTGCTCAGTGATGAGGAGAAATAGGAGGCTGAGAGTTCTAGCTTATAAAGACGTCTCTACATTACAGCTGATTTTTACTTTTACAGACAGCTTTAGATATTGAATGAAAAAGACAAAACCTGGGTAATTGTCCTCTCTCCTTTCCGGACATCAAACAGGCAAGCATACATAACCAAATACATTCATTCTGTGGAGGTTATCTTTGGAAATCTGGAGACAAAACTAACTCGCATCTTACCAGAGCACAATTCCATCACCAACTGCTTTGAACAGGTCATCAGTATTTGGGTTCATGGGTATAACATGTCTGCAATCAGGATCGTTTTCCAAAGCTTTGTTTATCCAGTTCACAAAAGCATATTTTTCTTCCTCTAAAATTACATTAAGTAACAATAAATCAGTTCACACTGTTAATTAACTCTCTGTTAATCATTTGGCCCCCAAACCTACGACTGCTGTATAGTTCTGCTATCAAATACCACAAATATGTGGCCATACTCTTAGGACACTTGGAAGCAACGCAGTGGCTATTAGGAATCATTACAAAATTAGCATAAAGTTTCAAGTTGAGGACACATCATCAAAAATAGGGAAAGGACTTGGGCATGGTGGCACACAAAAATAGAGAAAGGACTTGGGCATGGTGACACACACCTTTGATTCCAACTCTAGGGAGACAGAGACAAGTGGAACTCTATGAGGTCAAGGCCAGCCTGGGCTACAGAGTGAGTTCCAGGACAGCCATGAGCTGTTGCACAGAGAAGAACGCGGTGGTGGCGCACGCGTTTAATCCCAGTACTTGGGAGGCAAAGACAGGTGGATCTCTGTGAGTTCGAGGCCAGCCTGGTCTACAAGAACTAGTTCCAGAACAGGCTCCAAAGAGAGAAACCCTATCTTGAAAAAAAAGAAAGAAAGAAAAAGAGAGAGGAAGGAGGGAAGGAAGGAAGGGAAAGAGAGAGAGAGACAGAGAGAGAAAGAGAGAGAGAGAGAGAGAGAGAGAGAGAGAAAGAAAGAAAGAAAGAAAGAAAGAAAGAAAGAAGAGCTGGTGTGAAGCAGAAGGATTGGAAGTTCATGGCCACCTTGGGCAACACAATGAGATCTTGTCTAAAAATAAAAATGAAATTAGCCTGGCAAAGGTTGTGCACACTTTTAGTTCCAGCACTCAGAAGGCAGAGGCAGGTGAATCTCTGTGAGTTCAAGGCCAGGCTGTTCTACAGTGAGTTCCAGGATGGTCAGGGCTACACAGAGAAAATCTTGTCTTGAAAAAAACAGAACCAAAGCCAAGAAAAGGTGAAATTAGAACTGAGAAGATGGGTCAGCGGCAGAGCACTTGCCCTGCACACACAAGTCCCGGAGTTTTGTCCCAGTTATGTGAAGAAAAGTAGAAAGAGAAAGAGGGGGAAGAGGAGAAGAAGAAAGAAGAAGGAGAAGAAGAAAAAAAGACACATATAAAAGGCTTTTTATTAGTTGTCCTTTAAGACATTTGAGTATGGCTCCTCTTCTCATCAAAGAATCTGGATAAGAAGGTAACTTTTAAGTTCGAATTGTATAACAAGTTAGAAGAATGCAAGTTTCATATACTGGTTTAATAATGTGAATAAATGAGCATTCTTTAAAAATCTGTCTCTATACTTTGGAAATTCTCGAATTTGCCTCACCCCAAATCTTTCTTCTGTTTGCCAATGTGCATGACAAAATTCGTCTCTGTCAATTAGGGACAAGTCTGGCAACTTTCTACATGGGAGGAATACGTGCGTGGAAGTCTCAGGACAGCTCTGAGGAGTTAGTTCTCGCCTTCCACCTTTACATGCATTCTGAGAGATCAAATTCAGGTCAGCAGGCTGGCTAAGCAAAGGCTTTGCCCATTAAGCCATCTCTCAGGCTCACAAAACTTTCTGTAAATGCCTTTAGAACTTCACTTTATGTGGAACAACGCAACAAAAATTGCTGAACAAAGTATAACATATGTCAAAGGCTTTTAGTGTTGCTGCCTCTCATTCTCCTCCCTAGGGGAGGTCACCTCTAGCTGAGGGTCACACTGTGCAGCAGTTCAGATGGGAACAACATGCAATACTAGCCCAGTTTTAGGCAAGACACTTTAAGAATTAAGCCTTTCTAAGAGATGCCCTTTTTGTAATTAGTCTACTTAAAGAAAGAGACGTTTTGGCTGTTTGTTTGATTAGACTGCCTTTGCCTCCCAAGTGCTAGAATTAGAGGCATGAACCACAAAGAAAAAAGAGATTCTTGAAATGGATATTGTCACTGATGATCACAGACATATTATTCCATCGCCATTCTCAAATCCCAACTTTCTTTGGTCTTATAAAATACTTTCATTTAGGAAAATACTATTCTATCAGGGTTTCTCTGTGCAACAGCTCATGGCTGTCCTGGAACTCACTCTGTAGCCCAGGCTGGCCTTGACCTCATAGAGTTCCACTTGTCTCTGTCTCCCTAGAGTTGGAATCAAAGGTGTGTGTCACCATGCCCAAGTCCTTTCTCTATTTTTGTGTGCCACCATGCCCAAGTCCTTTCCCTATTTTTGATGATGTGTCCTCAACTTGAAACTTTATGCTAAACTTGAAAATTTATGCTAAATCTACAATTTTATGAGATTACAAGATGAACAAA